ACAATATATATATATATATATATATATATATATATATATATATATATATATATTAAAGGTAGAAAGCTTTTAACAACAAATCATCCCCTTAAGAATAAAAAATAATTATGGATCATCACACTAAAGATGAAGTGCGTACCTAGAACAGAAGGATCCCCAGAAGACATCCCAGAACTGTTCAGATATATGAAATGTGCATCCTCCAAATCTCTATTGAGTCGATCAACAAGCAGCACAAGTCTTGCATCAAAAACCTGGGCTGCACTGTTTATATTTGCTACACAGGTGGCTACGTTGTTGCGGCATAAATTAGAGAATGCATAAGGAATGCTCCCAACTGGTCCAAGTCCTGGCAAGGCAATTTTCCTTGCTCCAAGATGGTACAATCTCTGAACATATTAAAGAAGAACAAAAGAGTTGAGAATGGCCTCATGTTCACCAAAATATGAATATATATATATATATATTGATTGGCTATAAATCATATAATCCATGAACAACAAACACAGTAAATTATGTTCATTTTCGACTTGAATTCAAGAAATAAATAAACAAGCAAAAGATTAAGTACAACTTACCTTTAATTGCTTATAATATTGAACAATTAAGACCTTGGCAAATTGTTCAGGGGTGTATAGCCTGCTTGTGTTGTAATAACCAGGCACAAAGTAGTTGTTTAGGTAGTCATTACTGCCCATGGCAACATAATATAAGCACTTGTTGAGGTGATTTGCTGCTGACTCTCGAGTTCCTAGTAATTTAATCAAACTCGAGAGTGTAACCTTGTGATTTTGCAATTGCCTGTTTAGGCTGATCCTACCACCCTGGAAAGAACAAGATGATGATCAGCTTGAATTATTGTCCAGCGTTGAAATATTTGTTGTGCATTCAATTATTTGTCTACTTGCAATATTTAGACATGTTTAAAGTTGGGTTTTAAAAGAAAAATTAGGTGGGAGATGACCGGTTAAACTTAAATGATTTAATAAATTAATCCGTGTTTGATTTAAAAAATAATTAAAATAATATTATTTTAAAATTATTTTTTTAAAATATAAATTTATTTTAAATTAACTCAATTTAACACATGTTACATATGACTTTGATCTTTGAACCAAATAATGCGCCGATATGGGTTAATGACTTTTGACAACACAGCGTAAATGCAGTCGGAATAATTAATTTGGTACCAGTTGCTTTCCAGTCTCATCACGAATGCCTGCTCCCCCAGATGCATAATTAACACCAATTAGTATGTCCCTCCCTCCAGCAGTTGCAAATGATGGAATAAGTTTGTCAAGGCCCAAAAGTTCACCTGCACATGGCAGAATGTAGTATCTAATTGGCATCCAAAATATGCCAAAAAAATAAAAATCATTCCGCATGAACCAGCATTTCCAAACCAGAATGCAAGTGATTAGGAGGAATTAAGCAGAGTAAGGAAGGCAGGACCTATAATATCCACCGTGGTTCGGCCGTTAGTAAACCTTCCAGTGGTGGTTTGGTTAAGGAAATCGATGCCGAACGGGTGGTAATTGGCTTTAGCAACGGTTGCAAGGTTGTTGTTGTTGCCATTATCTGCCAAGGAGTCTCCGAAAATGAAAAAACACGGCGCTTGTGGAGCTGCATGAGCACAATAATCTTGCAATTGTGACACCAAATTCAGTAGCACAAGTATCGCATACCATGGTTTAATCTTGCATGCCATGTCTAATCTATTGGAACAAAGCTAGAGAAGGGAAGGTAGAAAGTTATGTAGAAGTAGGTGAATCGCCAAAGCATGAGAACTGAGAAGGGACCGGAGCAATGGTGCTAACAGCTAAGGTATGCAAAAATGCCGGGATATATATAATATAGTGTAGAGAGGAATAGCAAAGGTAGGGACAAGACTTTAAATCCTGGTGGCCTTGTCTTTGTTATCATGTGTGGATGGTGCAAGTTCAATTTTGGTGGCTTCGAGGAGCGACCACTAAAGTGAGCCTCTTACTTTTTTCAACACCATGGCTACCAGGTCTTTTGATATTGAGATGTGTGTCTGTTTGAGCGTGCGCAAAATGATGTAAAGTTATATGTATAAATAATATTTTAATTCAGAATTTTAAATTAGTTGATGAAATTTTAGAATGATTTTATAGTAATTATTAATATTTCTTTCAATTATAGGTGTTTTTAAACTTAAGATTTGCCAACTGTCATTTTATCTTGAATATCAAATATATTTTTCAAAGTAAAAATCTTTTAGATTTTAATTTAATTAAAAAAGGAAGTGGAGACCGTAGAATTTAAATTATTAATTCCATAGTTTGCAAACAGTTGATTTATATATATATATATATAAATATTTTAACTGAAAAAATTAAGTAATGTTTTGAAATAGTTTTTTAATAACTATATGGTATTGACAACGATGCATGAATCTTCCGAAACACGATGACCACCTTGAAATTGAATTATTTTCTTCGGATATTGTTACCTTCACCAACAACAAACAAATGAGGGCTCAAATCTTTCCCAGATCTTGTATTAATATCAAATGTTGGTTTTCAATTAATTTTTTTATATTTTTAGATTTTTAATATATTAATATTAAAAAAAATTAAAAAAAAAATTATTGCCATGCTATATGTTGCATTTCGTTTTAAAGCTGGCCCCGGACTCGATGTCGCATTCCCGTGGCTTGAAAATTACCATACCTATATGTTCATTGCCTCGATAATATCAACAAGATTACCTAATTATAGCGTGAGAGCTCCATGTGTGCCCCCACCAGACACAGCCGAAGCCAAAAAATCCATGGTATCCAAAGGCTGCACCGCAAAACATTTTTGCTCCTTTTCAGCCAACTTTTTAAAGGATATTTCGTGAAAATCCAGTGCCAAATTGCTCTTTTATGTTAGCTGCTAATAGAAAACAAGGAATGATTTTGTCTTTTAAAGGAAAATCTCCTGACCCAAAGAGAAATTCAGGAATGTGCTTTGCCGTATATATATGCTTCACAACAGGGATGGGCCAGAAAGAGAAGATCAATCCTTGTATCATCAGTCACTTGGAAACTGCCAATGCATGGCCAAGTAAATTTCAACTCTGATGCATCTTTTCTTTCTGGGCAAGGTGAAGCGAGGGTGGTTTTTGTGGCTAGGAATAGTAAGGGGAATATTATCATGGGAAGGGTATGGAGATGCGAGGTATCTTCAACTCTCCAAGGTGAAGCTTTGGCATGTAAAAAGGCCATCGAGTACGCTGATATCAATGATATTCAGAATGCCAAGCTACATAGGGTTCATGGGATTTTCAAGCAACTCTTGCAGAAGCCAAGCTACATAGGGCCAAGATTAATTCCTACTAACCCCATAAGCTTGATAAAAGCCCTTCTGTATTTCCTGTTCCACATGGCAGCATTGGTGTGCTTGGACTTCTCTGCTCACAATTCCCTGGCAGGCTGGCACTAGTCTTTGGCTTGGAGGTGTTGATCCTAAAGTTGTATGATTAATCAAGCATCTGGAGCTCATATCTCGTTTTAATTTATACATGTCTTCAGGATTTGTGTTGATAATGGCAATTATGTTAATTCTCGTCAAATGGAAGTTAAATGATTCGGGATTTCCACCCAAATATCTCGTTTTCAAATTCAAATATGGATTGAGATCTTGGGATATGTTATTGATGAACCTTTCGATGAACAATTTCCATCTTTAATGTGCATTTAAATTATTCAAAAATAAAAATCAAGAAGCAAGAGTATGAACAGGACATAAACCACAGAATGCAAGAATAAAAAAACCACTAAAAAATTGTGCATAAAACAATCTATGCTTATATATAATCTAACAAATAAATCCATCCGTCCTCAAGGATATGGAGATGTCAAACAAGTCCAAAAGAAAAGAAATATTGATATGTGAGAAAACAAGAGAAACAAGCTCACGAAAGAACCAGCAAAAGTACCGGCAAGTTGGTAACCACCTCGTCACAGCCTTATGCCTGATGACTGCTGAGTGGTGACGATCTCAAAGTCATCTACAGCTAAAAACACACTTTAGACATTACTGTCAAGACCTCACTTGGTCTCTTCTGGTTTTTTCTCCTCTATTGTTTCAGTAATTTTAGTCTTTTCTGCTGCTGCTCCAGGAGTGACTTCACTTGTTACTTTCTCTGTGTCTACCTTTACAGGAGCATTGACAGTTCCGGAAGCTGGCACTGGTTCAGCTGGAATTTCAGCTGGAATTTCAGATTTCACAGTTTCTTGTCCAGGCACCACTTCAGGTTCTTCGGTTACTGCTTTATCTTGTTTAATAGGCTCCTCAGGCTTTTCCACAGGTTGTTCCTTCACTGTTAATGGTTCTTCCTTTGCCACTGCTGGCTCGGTAGGTTTATTAGTGCTTTTTGATGTTTCTAATTTCTCAGGTGCTTCGGTTACTACTTTTTCTTGTTTTACTGGCTCCTCTGGCTTTTCCACAGATTGTTCGTTTACTGTTGATGGTTCATCTATAGCCACTGCTGACTCGGTAGGTTTTTCATTACTGTCTGATTTCTCCGGTTCTGCTGGTGCTTTGTCACTTTCTGTTGGCTCCTTCCCTGCTTCATTCTGCATAGAATACCATTTCAACCATAAGATATCTCAGAAGATTCAGAATCCAATAGACATGCAGATTTTACTAATACATAACCATGTAGCTTAAGATAGCCTTTCAAAGCAAGAAAAAGTATCGCGTTTGAGTCCTTTAACCGTCGCCAGTGTTCGGTTATTGTCTCAAGACAGAAAAAACAGAAACACTGGAGATAGAAGAGACATGTTTCTGCTCCTTCTGTCCTGAAACACTTTATACATATTTACTAGTAGATCCACAAGTCCCAATGGGATACCACAACTGATCCTCCACGGCTTGGACAGGTCCGTGCGGGAACACCCAACTAACACCAGTCTTTTGTCAGCCATGAGGCTGAATAATAACCTATCCAGTGAATTGTTGGGTAAACTTGGCGACGCAAATGTAAATGTATCTATAGACTAGCATAGCAAGTCAATGGAGTGCAAGGAGCATAGCAAAGAGGCTGAAAGGCAAGTTCCAAAATTTAACTAAGATCACCAACAATCTGACACAGCTAATCGAATTGGTTGGAAACAATTTATCAGAATAATCCAAGCCCCAACAACCATTACAGCTATATATTCTTTGATGGATGTTTACTGCATCCAGCTAAACCCTCAATTCCGGCACCATTAACTAGGGACATTCATACATATCCGACCTCTGGTGCTCAACAGCTTGCTTTCAATTACTGCCTGCATTTATCATTTATATACCAAAACCCGTTGGTATCAGAAAATGTTTAAAACAAAAGTATTTTTATATAAAAAAAAGACAAAAACATGCTTCGTTGAAAAAAAAAGATGAAATTATAAAATAAATATGTAATAAATTTTTTATTTAATTTTTATACTTTCAAAAAAAAAGAAAAAGAAAAGGAATACATGTCTTTCTTCTTCTCTATCTTTTATTGAGTGGAAATATATATTAAAAAGAAAAAAGAAAAATCAGGGGGCAGCTGCTAAAAACTTTTCATCACTCCCAAGGTTATGAAAATGAAACCACATCAGATATGGAGAAAAAACTTGGAGGAACCAAACAACAGGTGGGTCCTCGAACAAGATTTTTTTGTGCTAGACATCAAATGAAATGTGAAACAACAAAGTTGAAGGGAAACCTTACGCAGGCTTTCCAGTTCAAAGAATCTAAAGCTTTTAACTTTATTGCTTACCATATCCCAGAAAACAAATAAGCATGGTACAAATAGCTGCAAACTCATGTTTTACATAGAGAAAGAGGTCTTCGAGGGAAAAAGTTTATTGAAAAAAAAAACTTAGGGTAAATAAATTATTCATGCCGACACAACAATATAGACAAACATAAAGACAAATGGGACAGATTAAATAAGGCTTTGGAGATTAAAATATATAATTGGGCTTACAACAAAAGTAAAATGCTTGAGAAATTATTATACAGTTGTGTGCACGCACTCAAAGCAATCATGTCACTAATGTTAGGTATCGACCCTGTAATATTTCTCAAGTGGGATTGAATATCAATTCATTTGCAATTGAAATAATTATTATATAAACTAGGTATATTCTTTAATTATTTTGTCAAAACATTGACAATTAATTGGGTTGCTTGTGTTAATTTTATGGGCACCATAACAAGAAGAACCATGCATGTATACTAGAGAATTTTCAATTTAATTTCCTATTCTTGACCTGCTATAGACCAACAGCAGAGAAATTCACCAAGAAAAAAAATCGAACGTCAGATTATAAGAAAAGGATTTGAAAGGGACAAGTTTGACCATATGAAGTTTGAAGACAAATCACATCAATGGACACTAATTAACCACGTAAAATTAGGAGGTTAAATAATTTAATTGTAATAAGAGAAATAATTAGAAGAAAGAGCAACCATCATCTGTTACAGTTTATCGCAGAGCAAAAATGTAGAAATCGATCGATCAACTTAATTTATGTAACCCAAGATTTAATATTAAATAACAAAATTTATATTTAATCAAGACTCTTTCCAGATATAAAAAAATAAAATCAAAATTAACACAAACTGAAGAAATATTTTTTGTAAGCACGTTTTAAACATATAATAAAATCAAAATCTTTCCTTTTTGTGCCCAAGATATAAGATTGTGTAGAAAGAATTAATACATTAAACAATTTTTTTTTTTTTAAAAAAAAATCATTACCTCCTTGAACAAATTACTTAGAGATCGTCTCTTACTGCTATCATCAACAATCTCAGCCTCCACCTTATTATCATCACCAACATC